TTGGATATTATATATTCATGGTAGATGTAATTTTGATCGTACGGAGATAAGAATTATATGTAGATATTCAGTTTTTCATATGATATCACGCGCAAAGGCAATTTGAACAAAAGGATCGGTGGAAACGATATAGCGATGTCGTATAATCAGTCAAGCGTGAAAATGCGAAACAGCAATTCGAGGGAAATAAGACGCTCGATCCTCGCTCAGGGCGGTTCTACTCCATTACGGTATATTTAAAAAATTTGTCTAACAGCTGTAGGCTAATTTTGATCGATACGGGAATTATTATTGCGCAGGCGACGAGCGTCCTGAGCGCCACTTAATGTTTCAATTTACGACCTCACTGTATCGTTTCCATCAACTATACCTCGTCCTAACCATTTTCTCATCTCTGCATAGTACAGTAGCGCACACATAAGCGTCCGCATTCGGCCCCGACTGCGGGGTGGTGACTCCTGCGAATTTAACTAAACAAAAGAGAGGAGATGTGTCTGATTGTGATACCGATATATCAAGTGTGTCAGTTGTTCACATTCAGGTGTCGATATCGAATACTTTGTTTCACTCAGCCCGCTCGAACTCCACTCCGATGTCCCATTTCCAAGAATTGGTGGGGATAGCGACGGACGCTTAAGTGTGCAAAAATGCGGACGCTTATATATGCACTACTGTACTTACTTACTGCCGTGTGTTACACGAAAGTAGTGTTAAATCATTAAACATGCCTAAATGTGATATAATTGCGTGAACATCAACAGTACAAACTTCCTTACATACAACATCGATGATAAAAAATATCGAAAATTTCTTCGGAACGTATAAATGTGTGCTTGCTTCTAGGAATGGACAGAGAGTGATGCTCAAATGTTATTCACGTACATTGTAACACTCGTTGCTGTTGTTTCTAATACATTTTTAATCTGTTATATCAGCGACAGGTTGACAGAACAGGTACAAGAGACTAATTAATGATTAGCAACATAAACTCTAGCACGATTGAAAAATACATCCAACAAGGAACTAATCCATGAAATTGTTGACAGTGCTTGAAAGTTGGTGAAGTGGTTTACATGACAGATTGGTATTATCTGCCACAGAGAAGAATCCTCGATTTAATTCTGATCATTACACGATCGAACGTGGTCGTTGAAATCACCGCTGGAAAAATATTCCATATGTCGCTTTACACGTTCGGCGATGTAAGTGAAACTAATCTTGTTCCTTCTATTTACGCGTCATTTATTCTTCCTTGGAGGAGAAGAAAGTCAATCGTTTTGTTTATTTCCAGGTAGTAAAAACAGGATTCGCCTACTTGAATATGCTTTGTCAAATGTCCTGATTAAATTGCAATTCTAGCCGCGAATTTCGATTTTGTACAATTTGTAGATAAAATTGTGAAATCTGAAATACAATGTAGTAACGATTAATCGTCTGTAACTTATTTCAAACATTGCACAGTTCTTAACACTGTGAAAATACAGCCGTAGCACAGCTTGATTAAGAAAACCTACAAAAAAAGTTCCATTTTTCTGTTTCAGAAAAGAAGATATATAATTTATTAGTTCCTTTTTTTTTCTAGTAAAATTACACTCAATTCGATCTCAATAACACGAATATTCACCTGGAACGGATATTTCGTGGATCCGGTCCGAGATTTCTGCCATCTTGGCTCCATCCTTAGTAGACGTTGCGGCAAGGACGAGCTATGTTTTCGTCGGTAAAAGCGATTCCTCCACATTTCTCTCAGGAAATCATCGCTGACAGCCGAGCCCACCAAATCTTTCAGACGCCGCCAAAATTGCGTCGGAGTTGCATCGCCGATTTCTTCCGCTTCTAACAGTCTTCTAAGACTCTGACAAACGTTTGATCAATTCGGCCTTAATGGTGTCGTACCTCTTCGAGTCCGGTGGGTTGCAGATGATGATCTTCCACCTCTTCGGCGTATGTCCCATCGTGTTGAGAGACGACGTGACCAAACTTGGTGTTAACGCAGCTTCCCGCGCTTCGTGATTGTTGGAAGGTCGGGTTGGCGTTGGTGATTATTGCACGTATGTGCCAACTAATTGTTGTCGCGATGGTGATCACACTTTATTTTCAGTATCGATTATTGCGGACTGGACGGCATTTGTGGTTTGACAACGTCGAATATCGCGGACGAGGCAGCGCTAAAGATGGGGAGTTAACCTCATTGGCAAATCATCGGCCTTTCACCCCATAGAGCCGCCCTCCTAGGCTCTCGAGCACTCCCCCGTGGTCCGCAGAGTGGGGTGTAGGCGGAGAGAGAGAGACGGTCCAGAAGGGGTGTGAACCCCGCGTGGCGTTCTTGCCGAAACGTCGATTTTACGGGTTTATGGCATGTTTACCGTTACTGAGCGCGCAGAGGCAAGTACCGGGTCACGATGTGGCCCGCTGAAGTGGATAATTTCCGCGGCCATCGAGTAATAAACCGGATAGGCTATTGTTGTCAAGGAAATCGTAGAAAAACCTTCTCAAAAGTAACGTTGCCTGGAATCCGTGCCATAAGCCTCGGTTGGTTAAACTCTTGGTGTCGTCTTTCGTAATTCCGCCGATTGTAAATTGTCTTTGCAACTGGCAAAACCACAATCACACCTTCTGTCGCCAAAAGGTGAGGTTAATCACTTCCTTGGTAATATCAGTAGTATCGTCGTAAATGGATCTGTCCGCCGGATTCTCCATGTTACTCCAATTCTCCAAGTGACACGACGCGTGTAGAATGAAAGCCTGCTTTTTTCCTTGAGAAACGTCCCAGGAAGTGGGAGTGCGAGCCTACATTGCCAAAGCTCTATTCTTGTTCTCGAGGACGAAGAAACCTAGAAATGTTTTTTGAAAAACATCTCTTGACTCTTCGCCTCGACGGCCAATAGTTGCCAGGCCTAGGTCGCCACATCTCACACCGTGTCCTTGGCACATGTTATAGGCGTTTCGAATATTTTCTCGCCTTGTGCCCTTCAATTTTCCTCTTTCGCGTACTTCCACCTTAGTTTTGTCAAACGACAAACGTTAAAATTTCTGGAAAAATGTAAAAACGCTAAAAGATTCAACGGCCGCGATTGAACATCAACCGTCTGCCACGCGCGTCGCGTACTAAGGTCTACCGCAGCGAAAGGGTTAAGTGATATATGAAACTCTCGAAGAGTTCCACTGCGCGCATGTCCTCGAATCTACAACTATTTAAACGTACGCACACACCGCCTGCAGCATTAAGAAGTCGCAGGCGACTAGACGAATCGATCTGTGAACGAATATAGTGATACCTCGAAAAAAAATCTGCGCAAGCGTTGTAGCAATTCTATGCACCGATGCAAGATTCTCGATCCAGTAGTACCCATGACTTCGTCGCATGAGCACGATGACTAACGAATTCGCCGTGGTAAAGACGAATTTTAAAAGTTACAGCGATTACAGTCTCCAGTTGAATCGATGGTTCCTGAAACCTATAGGCGCATGGCCACCCTCGTCGTCCACTACAACCCTCGAGCGAAACGTTTCGATCGTTTTGAACATCGTCTGCTATGGTTCTATATTGTTCACCTTGATACCCTGTTTGCTCCATGTATTTCTTGACGACGACAGTTTCTACATGAAAGTGAAAAATTTCGGTCCTATGAGCCATTGGATCATCAGCTGTGCCAATTACACGTTGCTGTTGTTACAAGGAAAAGACATACGCTACTGCGTCGAGCATATAGAAACGGATTGGAGAATGGTGAGGAGGGAGAAGGATCAACAAGTGATGATGAAGAACGCGAGATTCGGTCGTTACGTGGCCACATTTTGCGCAGCTATCATGCAAAGCGGCGTTTTCTGTTTCTTCGTGTCGTCGGCGCTGAACACGGAGATAATTCACGTGGGAAACGAAACAACGATCGTGCGAGTGCTACCTGTTACCGTGTACAAGAAGCTGTTGAACGTCGATCAGAGTCCTACGAACGAGATCGTGGTCTTTATGCAAACTTGGTCGTCGATTATAGCGACTACTAGTACAGTTAGTATATTCAGTCTCGCGGCTGTTTTTGCCACTCATGCGTACGGTCAGTTGACTGTGCTTATGTCGTGGATAACAGAGTTTGTGAATGAGTCGAGGAATCGGGAGAAAACGTTTCCTTTCAAGCAAATAGGCGTGATTGTGGAGCATCATTTAAGAGTGCTGAGGTAAGATTTTTGCATTATTTCCGTTGTGTGGAATTTCGAAAGGGTTTCTGTGATTATTTTTGCGTGTTAATTGCAGTTTCATATCATATATCGAGGAAGTGATGAACCGAATATGTTTTTTAGAGTTGTTTAGATGCACGCTGGCTATATGCATGCTGGGATACTACATTCTTGCGGTACGTAATAAAGATAGCGATATTGTTTAGTGATAATTCTTTAGAATATGAACATGTTTATAATGTTTGTACTTTTAGTGACACTTTTACTGCTGTTGGGTACCTATAGACGCTTTGGAAATTTCTTACAATGTCCTTGGCATCTATAGGCGGTTTGAATATTTTTTTGCGGTGTCCTTGGCGCCTATAGGCGCTTTCAATATTTTCTCATACTGTGTCCATGGCGCCTATAGGCGGTTTGAATATTTTCTCGCGCTGTGCCTTTGGCGCCTATAGGCGGTTTGAATATTTTCTCGCGCTGTGCCTTTGGCGCCTATAGGCGGTTTGAATATTTTCTCGCGCTGTGCCTTTGGCACCTATAGGCGCTTTTAATATTTTCTCATACTGTGTCCATGGTGCCTATAGGCGGTTTAAAAATGTCCTCGCACTGTGCTATTATCAACTTCAGACACACTTTCATCTTAATTTAATCCTTAATTTTTTCCTCTTACGCACTTCCACCTTAATTTAACAAAATGATAAATTAAAAAATTTGTTTTTAATTTTTCAAACACCAAAGAAATTGAACACATACCTTTCGCCACGTGCGTTATGTACCGAAACCTGTTGCAACAAAATGGTTAAAATCGTACCTACAATAATTTTCCTATACACAGCTATTCTGTTATTTTTTATTATTTTCAGGAATGGTCTACGCAAGATATTCAAAATTTGAGTTCGTACTTTATGATACTCATATCACTTTCTTTCAATATTTTTGTAATATGTTACATAGGTGAAATATTAACAGAACAGGTACCAGAGATTTAATTAATTGTCACATATGTACACAAATGGAACTTGTGAAAAATTTCAGTAAGGACTAATCAAACGAATTGTTAACAGTGCAAGAAAGTTGGCGACGTGGTTTATATGACAGACTGGTATTATCTACCTGACAAAAGAATACTCGATTTAATTTTGGTAATCGCACGATCGAGCGTGGTCGTTCAAATCACCGCGGGAAAATTCTTTCACATGTCCATTTACACATTCAGCGATGTGAGTTATCTTCGTTTGATTATTTATATACGTATTTCTCTGTGTTCGTAAAATCCGTTGGTATTTCAGGTAATAAAAACCTCTTTCGCGTATTTGAATTTACTGCGTCAAGTATCGTGATGCACCGTTAGTGGATTTATGCATAATTTTGTAGGATATTTCAAATATAACGTTTAGCAACACTATTGCTTCCAATTTTTATAAACTTCATTCACGAATCCCAAAATATAAATAGAGTCACAATGTGTCATTTAGAAAATCACAAAATATTCATGTCTCTATAATGCAATTTTAAATAGAAAAAAATCGAAATCAAAGCACACCGTTAGCATCGCTATTAGCAAACACATTTTACAACCTGTAAAAGACAACAAGAACGTTGAAAAAATAAAAGTAAACATATAAACAGATTTACAGTGTATCAGTTAAAAAACTACAAAAAATTCATCTCTCCATAATGCAATTTTATGTAGAAAAAAATCGAAATCAAGTCACACCGGTAGTATCACTATTAGCAAACACTTTTTACAACCTGCAAAAGACAACAAGAGCGTTGCAAAAATAAAAGGCAAAATATACACAGATTTACAGTGTATCAGTTAAAAAACTACAAAAAAATTCACGTCTCCGTAATGCAATTTTATATAGAAAAAAATCGAAATTCAGCCACACCATTAGCGTCACTATTAGCAAACACTCTTTACAACCTGCAAAAGACAGCAAGAACGTTGAAGAAAAAAGAAAAGACAAAAATTCACCTCTACCTTTCAACTTCCAAAAAAAAATGATTCATCCACCGCTTCTCCTACTTGTCACAATCTCCCAAAAATTTCACCGTACCCAAACATTTCCAATCTACCCCATCGAACAGAACGCTCCACTATACGCACGTTCTCCACTCCGCGCAAGTACTGTCGTCAATTTCGAAGCGTACATAGTAGCGTATCCGTGGGCAACAAGTTGCACCGACTAGACGAATCGATTGGCGTACAGTCGTTCAGTGAAAAGTGCGCAAGCGTTGAACAAACCAGTTGCACCGGCACGATCCGTGTGCAAAATAACCCGTTCTGTCGTATCGACGACATCGATGAGTGGCCACGATGACGAACAAATCGGTGTTCGTAGAGACGAGTTTCACTAGCCACAGTGACTATAGCCTCCAATTTAATCGATGGTTCCTGAAACCGATAGGCGCTTGGCCACCTTCATCCTCCACGACCAGACTCGAGAAGATCATCTCTGTTATCCTGATCTTTATCTGCTACAGTACCATACTGGTCACCCTGATCCCGTGCGTACTTCACATGCTACTCGAGAAGGAGAGTTTGTACATGAAAACGAAGGTGCTCGGTCCTCTTACCCACTGGTTCGTCGGCTGTATTAATTACACAACGTTGTTGTTGAGAGGCAGAGACATACTTAGCTGCGTGGAACACGTGGAGAACGATTGGAGAATTATAACGAGGGAGAAGGATCAGAACGTGATGTTGAGATACGCGAAATTCGGCAGATACGTCGCTGCCTCTTGCGCGGCTTTCGTGCAGGGCGGAGTTCTGTGCTTCTGTTTGGTCACGGTGTTGAGTACAGAGGTGATACAAGTGGGAAACGAGACGAGGATCGTTCATCTGTTGCCGTGCGCGGTGTACAAAGAGCTGATAAACGTGAACGACAGTCCTATGAACGAGATTGTTCTCGTCGTGCAATTCGTCTCGGGATTCATAGTGAATTCGAGCACCGTTGGAATCTTCAGTCTCGCGGCTGTTCTGACCGCTCACGCGTGCGGCCAGTTGAACGTGCTCATGGAATGGATCACGGAGTTTGTGGACGAGTCGAGGAACAGGAAGAAAAAGGCTCCTTTCAAGGAGATCGGAGTGATTGTCGAACATCATTTGAGAGCACTCACGTAAGATTTGTTTGATATTACTTTTGTACGATAAAGGATTTTTATAATTACGGTAGGATCTACTATAATTTGAAAATTAATGTTAATTTGAAATTTAGTTCCACTGACATCATTTTTTCGATGCTTATAGTTTCTTCCTCGGTTGAATTTTCTTCAGTTTCAGAATTTATATGCTTTTTGCTTTTAAAGAAGGAAAATTTTTCAATTGCTTTATAGTTCGCAAAAATTTTGCAATTAATTGCTTGTTGATTGTGCAGCTTCATATCGCGTATCGAGGATGTGATGAACCGGATATGCTTCCTGGAGTTGTTCAGGTGCACTCTGGATATATGTCTACTTGGCTACTATATTCTTATGGTGCGTGTTAAAATTGCTGTTATTTAAGTGTAGTAAGTGTTAAGTGATTGTGAGAAAATTTTAAATAATCACAAATTTGCGATAATCACAATTGACAAAATATGATAACTGAATCTAACAATAATTTGACACAACTTGCAAGTTTAAGAGATTAGTCCAGGACACATCCTGGTCACTTTCTGCACTCCTTTAGGCCCGATACACACTAGCGGTCCGCTTCCGGTCCGGTAAAATATTTTTCTTAGCCTGCTTTAGAACAGGCATGGGCAACCTTTCCTGGTTCTAGGGCCAAATTATCATTCTCTCTCCGAGTCAAACTAAATGGGTTTTCGCGTGTATTTTCGCGTATCAATATATCAATATCTCCAATGTAACGTTGTACGTGATTATCTGTTTCATACAACTTTGGCTAAAAGGCCAGATTTAAAGACTTCGCGTGGACGGATCGCGGGCCAAACTAAAAGAAGTCGCGGGCCGTGAGTTGCCCATATGTGCTTTGGAACGTACCCATTCACACGAACGCTCCGCTCACGGTCCGGTCTCGTCCCAGAAACTATCTTTGGAAAGAATATCTCACCACCGATTATTCCATTCCAATTACGATTTTGATGAAACTGTAATACGCTGTAGTCTATTTTTCTTTTTTTTTTATAAATGTATAAACTAATTTATATTTCGAGAGCAAAGCGGGATTGGACCGGGAGCGAAACGCTAGTGTGAATGCTCAGAGATTTCGAGCTAAATAGTTTGTATCGGGCCTTAGAATAACGCAGGCAAAGGCCAACATTTTACGATTACAGTTACGATTGCAATTGTGTAATAATCTTTTTCTGATATTTCTTTCTTTTGCAGGAATGGGCTGAGCAAGATATACAAAATCTGTCCACGTATTTCATGATGCTGATAGCGATCTGTTTCAATGTATTTATAATCTGTTACATCGGTGAAATACTAACGGAACAGGTACAACATTTGGCATAAAACAAAAGAAAAGCAACCGAACAAAATCGTGACAAGGACTAATCGTGTGATAATTCTTGACAGTGCTCGAAAGTTGGTGACGTTGTTTACATGACAAACTGGTATTATTTACCTGATAAAAGTATCCTTGATTTGATTTTGATCATTGCACGAAAACCGCCGGGAAATTAGTTCAAATGTCGGTTTACACGTTCGGCGATGTAAGTCAGCTTTGCTCTATTTTCCTTCTTTCTTTCTCTCTTTACGTTTATACATATCCGTCTGTCCTCACCAAGTCCGTTGATATTCCAGGTGGTTAAAACTGCTTTCGCGTATCTGAATCTGTTGCGTCAAATGACGTAGCGAGATGCACTTTTAAGAGAACACCTATGCATAAATTTGTAACGTTTGAAATACAAAATGTAGCAAGAACATTCCTTGCAATTTTTAGGTCATTAAATTACAGATCTTAAGTTACATTTCGATACATCGTCCGAGAGAAAAGGAAAGTGTAATTACATACGAAAAAAAAGAAAATATTTTCCTCGCAATTCATCGCAAAAAAAAGAAAAACAGAATTGAACTGTGACGTCGCAAAAAAGGTGCAAGCAAACTTTCAGACTTTACAGCGAGCGTAAGCATACATTTATCTCAACTTCGAGACTTTGGAACTTTACGTTGAAGATACAAAAATTTACCTTAAGTTCGTAGCAAATTTCACCAAAGTATCGCAAATCGTATACAAAAAATTTCCGTCCCCTGCACATTGTCCAAACCACAGTCAGCAAGCTTCTAAGCACAAGTGACGCACCCCCTCTGCAACAAGTTGCATCGAGCAGCAGACGAATCGATCGGCGAACCAGTCGTTCGAGGAAATCTGCGCAAGCGTTGTGTTACACCAGTGCACCCGTCTTCTTTGCCACAAAATACTCGATTCAGTCGTTTCCACGACATCGACGAGTTGTCACGATGACCGACGACCTGGAAAGTTTCGGCAGTCTCAGCGACTACAGCCTGCAGATAAACCGGTGGCTGCTGAAACCGATCGGTGCATGGCCACTGTCCGCCTCGATCTCAAGAATGGAACGAATTATCTGGTTTCTCTTAATCGTCGTCTGTTACTGTCTCATACTATCCACCGTTATCCCTTCCATACTTCATATCGTCCTAGAAGCCGAGAATTTCCATATGAAGCTGCAGGTTCTCGGTCCGCTCGGTCAGTGGTTCGTCGGTATGATCAATTACACCTGGTTGTTGCTTCACAGTAAAGATATACAAGGTTGCGTGCAACACGTGCAGGAAGACTGGTGTATCGTGACCAGGTTGGAGGATCAACGTATCATGCTGAAGAACGCGAAATACGGCCGCTACGTGGCAGCTTCTTGCGCGATCTTCATGCAAACGAGCATCATGTGCAAGTGCCTAGTCACAGCGTTCACTACACAGGTGATCGAGGACGGTAACGAGACTAGAATTCTACGTATGCTACCGTGTCCAGTGTACAAAGAGATCATTCCAGTCGACACGAATCCGACGAACGAGATCTTTCTCGCCACGCAATTTCTGTCGGGTTTCATCGTCACCGCGACAACTGTCGGTGCTTTCGGTATGACAGCGGTGTTCGCCGGTCATGCTTGCGGACAGTTGAACGTGTTGATGTCCTGGATCACGGAATTCGTGAACCAGTCCAGGGATGAGAATAAGAATCTTTATTTTACCGAGATAGGCGTGATCGTTGAACATCATCTGAGAGTTCTGAGGTAAGATTTGTTTGGTACACTTGTTGAGTTCTCGTGGTTCGACGGATATTAATCGCTGTATACCGATTGTAGTTTCATAGATCGTATTAAGAATGTGATGAGTACGATATGTTTCGTGGAGTTATTCAAGGCTACGCTGGATATATGCATGCTAGGTTACTACATACTTACGGTATGAGAAGAATATAGTGAGAAATGTGGACTGTGCTGAGCTGGACTATGTCTTTCGGGAGGTGACATACTTAATAAATAGTCGTTTGGTCAGGGTTTCAGAGACGTCTCTGACGAGAAAGAGGAGTTATCATGCTCAGTTTCTTACAGGCTCGTTTTATTAAAAATATTTTAATGAAAATCCAAGGAAATTTCATAACGACGACGTAATAGTTTACCAAAGAAAATAGGAAACAGTTGTGGAATGAGAAAGCGCTTCCGTTTTTTTTTTAATTAAATTTAAAGGTTCCATGGAAATATAAAAGTGATCATTATAACACATTACATACAACCAAATAACAATACATGTGCCCATTTTCTATGATTGTGTTGAAGAAGGTGGGTCTATGTGAATATAACCTAATCAGATCTGCGTTCCTTCCGCGGGACATATTTTCCAGCTCTGCACAGTAGAAGAACCTCGATAGTTGTAATCTCGATACTTGCAACTAAACCTTGACTGTTGCATTCCGCCAACACACGGTAGAAATTATCGCATAGTTACGAATAAACTAAGGGAGATCTGATGCGACAGTTAGGTTTCTTCGTTAATTGCTCGCATGCATTCTCTGCCCCATTTTCATCCAACTATCAAGATTCTACTGTACATCCACGCATTAACTTTTTATCTATTGCACAAATTGTGATAAAGACAATTTTTGTTTACTTCAGTGTTTGTCCAGGGATATAATATTTGTATGAAATATAACAATTGACGTTTTTCAGGAATGGGAAAGTCATGATATTCAAAATTTGACTACATATTTCATGATACTGATATCAATGTGCGGCAACATTTTTCTAATGTGTTATATCGGCGAGATATTGACTGAGCAGGTAATTAAAAATGTAATATAATAAGTTTAACACCTAATTCTAAAATATGATCGGTAATCATCGAGCATTTTCTAACAGTGTAAGAAAGTTGGTGAGGTGGTTTACATGTCGAATTGGTATTACTTACCCTACAAAGATATCCTTGATCTGATTCTCATCATTTTAAGATCCAGCGTGGTGTTTAAATTCACCGCTGGAAAGATACTTCACATGTCCATGTACACATTCAGTGACGTACGTTCCGCTTATTCGCCCACAAAAAACTATTACTCGTTCGTAGAAAAATTCGTGACAAAGAATTTTTACAATTTCAGGTAATCAAATCCTCTTTCACGTACTTAAACTTACTTCGCCAAACGATGTAACGAAAAGGCAAGTATATATCGAGTGCGTAGTGTAATAATAAAAATTGACCGATTTTTCATTTAAACACATTTTTTATAAAATTTTACGCACAAGTAAAATACTATACTTATATAATGTAAGTAACAGTGAAATATTTTACATTTATATACATGTAAAACATACCGATTCACAAAAATATAATAATTGCGTAACTTCACCTGCATTCAATGCCCCTTCATTGCATACACATGTTCTTACCGTAGCTGCACACTGGCCCGCGCGCCGTATTAATGGCGGCTAGGCGGAGAGTTCAACGGGACAAGCGGTATGCTGCACGAATCCATCGTGTTAGCGGCACACGCGCCACATTCAGAAGCTTCAGCGATCAATGTATCGATTGCTAAATACCAGTATCACTTTTCAATATTCAATGTTCACTTTTCTTCACAGTTTTACGTACGCCTTTCGTGGAATTAGGCTGTGGTATAGACGAACTCAGTACGTCAAATCATTCTTTGTGCACAGATACTTATGAGTGTATTCATTGCATTGTTCAGATGTTTCATTCGCCAGAACGCCAATTCGTAGGGACATGTATACAGATATTTCATATTTTAATAATTTTTTCTAAATAAAATATTTAATTGTTTAGAAACGAACAATAATCCACTATAACCACAGCCCTGATATTACCATGACAGCACAAGCCAATAAGCTTCTTCCTGTCCTATCTTATGCGTTAGTGTTGTGGAAGAATCGATTTTGTGATCCTCGCGTTAATCGGTTGTTTCTTCCTTGGTCCCCTGCATGAAAAAATGAGAGATCTCAGTATGAAGACCGAAAATCGATTTAATACACAAACAGTATACAGGGTGGATCGATAAGCATTACCATCTTGAATACCTCCGGGATCGTTTATTATAGGAGAGAGTCGTGCAATACCATTGCAGATATGAAAGATAACTTTCGTCGTACGGAACACCAGCGTAAACGTTAAACGTCTTAAAACTCCGGTAATACTGAAGAGAAAAGAACGTCGCCGGAATACGTTGCTCAGGGCTATAGTATTTATTTGTTTTTCCATCAATAGTGCAGTCAACTAACAGTATAAGCGAGATCTAGCTTTGGCCGGTACTGCACGACTCTCCCCTAAATCTATGCTTGTAGAAACGTATGTAAAATTAAAGCGTGCAAGATTAAGTCACAACTACCAAAAATTTATTACAACATTACAGAAACAAAGATGTACCCCAACTTTTCAACCCAAAGCACCACTTTCTCTCAGATAATTTCTGCACATTTCGTCAACCACTCGAAGCACTTTTTACACTCCACATGTCTCCGAAAACCATCCGATCGTACTGAAACTTTCGCTACATGTAGATATACACTCACGCACCATGTTAAACTCAGCAACTTCTAAACATAGTTGCTTACCCCTTCGGCAAAAAATTGCAGCGACTAGATGAATCGATCGGTGCATACATAGTAGTTGAGCTGAATGTGCGCAAGCGTTATAGAATCGCGTGCACCGACATGATCAGTAGAAAATCCTCGATTCAGTCGCTTCTGCAACATCGATGAGTGTCCACGATGGCTAACGAGTCGTTGGTAATCGAAGCGAATCTAAACAGTCTGAGCGATTACAGCCTGCAATTGAATCGATGGTTCCTGAAACCTATAGGCGCTTGGCCGCCGTTGTCACTCACATCTAAACTCGAACGAATCGTTTCCTACGCTTTGATCGTCATCTGCTACTGCTCCATACTGTTCACCGTAATCCCTTGCTTGTTTCATCTCGTTCTGGAGGACGAGAGTATCCGTACGAAAGTGAAGGTGTTCGGTCCTCTGAGCCATTGGTTCGTCGGAGGAATTAACTACACCACACTGTTGCTACGCAGCAAAGAGATACGCGGTTGCGTAGAGCACATGCAAACAGATTGGAGGATCGTGACCAGACCGGAGGACAAGCAGGTGATGTTGAAGAACGCGAGGATCGGTCGTTACATTGCTATATTCTGCGCGGCGTTCATGCAATGCGGTGTTCTCGGCTACTGTGTGATAACGGCGTTCACTATGCAGACCGTGGAAGTCGGTAACGAGACTAGGATCGTACATCTGTTGCCCTGTGCAGTTTACAAGAAGATGATCGCAGTTGATACCAGCCCGACGAACGAGATTGTCCTTGTTTCACAGTTCGTATCAGGATTCATCGTGAATTCGAGCGTCGTCGGTGCTTTCAGCCTTGCCGCCGTGTTCGCGGCTCACGCGTGCGGACAGCTGAGCGTGCTGATGATGTGGATCAAGGAGTTTGTGAACCGATCCAGAGATAGCAATAAGAACGTTTGCTTCGATAAGATTGGCGTGGTCGTTGAACATCATCTGAGAGTTTTGAGGTAAGGATTGTGTCTCAAGGTTCTCGATTTTGGTATTTTTAGATTGATCTAATCGCATGTTGATTGCAGCTTCATAGCACGTATCGAAAGTGTAATGAGCGAAATTTGCTTCATGGAGTTGTTCAAGTGTACTATGGATATATGCGTGCTTAGCTATTATATCCTTACGGTATGATAATAATATGTATAACTACTGTCCGACAAACCTAAAGTGAAGCCTCTGACGTCACACAGGGCCTAAAAGTGGGAGATGTAGGGGACCTTGCGACGGCTCGCTGTTGGTAAGCCAATAGGGATAGAATAAGGCTATCGCATTTGCTCTTCTATGGACAATAGATGATAATCGGGTCTCGTTCGAGCAGTCGGTAAGCAGATGAGCAGTTGATAATTCACCGGAATCATATTTTCAAGCGTTCGAAAAGAAATTAAGTTTACGTCGCGCAGACACCATAAACAGGCGAACAGATGCCTGCGCGACGCCAAACGACGTGCATCATGGTAAACTTTATTTTTTTATCCCATGTTCCCAAAATTTCTCTATTATTTCGATAAGCTTATTGTACAGGTTAAAATTCAAGCAATCCAATGGTATTTCTTCAAAATTATTCTACGAGTGGGAACAGTGTCAAATTAGCAATTGAAACTTTAGCAGCGATTATTGCTACGTTTATTGCTATGAAATGAGCCAAAGGTCGAAATATTATCTTTAAACAAAGCCGAAATATTACGGTTAAAGTGACGACATGTCGTCTGATTTTGTTAAATTTTTCAAAACTATTAAATAGTGGCTGCTTGATGGCTTTTATTGGCTTTAAAAAGTGGCTGTCGGTCTGTGGTGGCACGCTACTTTTCATCGCTGCCAGAAATTTTTTAACTTCTTAAGCAATTTTTTAATGCGCCGAAATCTACTTTTATTATTCAGGAATAGCAAAAAAATATGATGGCTTTTATTAGCTGTAAAAAGTGGCTGTCGGTCTGTGGTGGCACGCTACTTTTCATTGCTGCCAGAAATTTTTTAACTTCTTAAGCAATTTTTTAATGCGCCGAAATCTACTTTTATTATTCAGGAATAGCAAAAAAATATTTCCGTTTTAGTTTTCTAACTGTTAAAAAATATTAATACTTCTCCTGAGGCTTCCTTTACAATAATAATTTACTGTGTACGAGTCTGCGCTATTAAATATGTCTTACGCGCCAACGTAGGTAAGAGGACGAGGCGACCAAATAATTTTTAGTTTTCCGTTCTTTTATCAGCGTGTTACATTATCGACAGCTGACTTAAATTCGTTTGTCTAAACCATTTACCTACAACGCAACTTCCCCTCAAGCGCCTGCAGTGTAAGACCCAAGAGTAGTGGGGATGACCTGAACCGCCTATTTTGCCTCCATTTTCGGTTGTAATATCATCATTCAATTCTACGAATGTAACGTGGAATTTGAACTCTTCGGAAAGTTTAAGGCTCTTACGATCCAAGGATTAAGCAAAGATGGTGACAGGTTGTAAAGGTGTGCAAGAGGTGACAACGAACATGATTTATAGAGCAGAGTTTTCAATTTGCAACAAGATGTTAGACGATTTAAGTTTTGTCTCTTCTTTAGATTTGTATAACCGATCGACTAACTGTTTCTAAATAATATAGAAATTGAATCGGTACGCGCAAATTCAGGCGCTTGTTACAAATCATCTCTTTTACAAATTTGGCTACGTTAAATGTTCAATCATGACCGTGAAAGTTCGTTTAAACAAACACAAACGCGACGAAATGAAATCAGTACTCGAACCATTTGACAAGACATTACAAAAATATTACAAATTTTATTTTGCACAATTTCCGGTGTATTTGAACTTCCTTTAAAATCGCGAGATTGACTGCGTTCAATTATACCGTCATTTTTACGTACGTCTAGAAATAATCTGTGTATTTCGTATTACTTTCTCTGCGAATCACAAAACGTATACCGAATTATGTAAATTTAATAACTGCAATAGAATGTATGATAGAAAAAATTCGTTCTATTTAAACGGTCGGTTGTTACGCAGAAAGTGTAAAAGAAAGATACTCGTAACGTCTTTTCTTCATTTTTAAGTTTACTTCGCTGTCCTCTCTTCGAAAGCTTGAAGATATTTCGATCACCGATAGAACCAAGTGAATTTAACGAATTCTTGGAAATGTGTATAAAGTACTCTTTGAAAATCGAACACGTTTGTAATCTATGCAACAAATTTCCACCGAAATGACGCAGATTCGTTTGTCTTCATCCATCATAGAATACAACATTTGTGCAATATCGCGGTGTACGTTATTAGAATTACACATGTATTTGAATATTAATCGACTAAAGCTGTGAACACCTTAGTAAATATCTACCTGTCACCTCCTCTCACACGTTGTATGCTATTTAATCAGCTAATAAATGCATATACAATGTTTTTTAATTACACGTTTCTTAAGAGACACAGATAGAGAGACAGAGAGACAGAGAGAGAGAGAGTGTGAGATAGAGAGAGAGAGATAGAGTTTGTATAGGTTTGTAAAGTATAAAAAGATTTATAGTAATTCGTGGTGCAAATGTGCATTCGCAAAGAAACACCTGAGAAATTTCACTGTTCCATTTGAAATCGTTCGAGCTATAAAATAAAATGGTGGCCTTAAAACGTATAATTATAATATTTCAAATGAATTTCCTTACTTAATAATATTTATATTACACGGTTACGAGCAGTACTTGGTTTCACTTCTCGTTCAACTATTCCTTTCTGTTATATACATTTCATAAATTTCTTCTCGGAAACGATATTTGTACTCTTGTACTTGAAGTAACGAAGAAAAGAGAATGATCGAAGGTTCATACCTGTAGGCTCACATTTCACGAAATTATCACGCGACAACAGCTTCAGTACAACATACTGAATTATTTCATAAAATACGAGCGGTGAAGATAATTTTTTTTTTTTTTCACAAAAAATATTGTCAAATTAACGTGACAACTTCAGTACCCCTGTTTTGCGTATTAATTGCATTGATAACAGTGAAGATAATATAACGAAAATGACGAAGCACCGTCGAAAACATCTTCATTGCGATTCATAATCGTGAAATGTGTCGCCAACGTTCGAACAAGTTCAACGTTCAAGGATAATCAGAGAGAACATATTCAATTGACCGAATTTAATTTACGCAACAATTCTTCGTTCTATAATTTTCGTGGAAACATACGGGAATTTATTTGTACAATATTATAAACATAAGCTTTTACATGCTTTCCTTTTAATGCAAGGTTCTGTATTCATTGATCAGTATGAAAACGGAAGCAACAGAAGCAGTACACTATACGCGCCGGTGATTATAAGTATGGTCGAAAATCAGGAACGATCGAATTCGTCGCTTATTTCGCGTTACGTCGATCTTTTCACAGAAAAGATTTATACCTTAAGAGCAAGTGTTTTGTGAAATGTTTGATTAAATAATGAAAAAATATTTTTCAATACACCCAATGGGAAACTTCCAAATATGTATCTGGAAACGAAAAATACACGATTTAGGCCACTTTCGTAATCACCGACACATATCACCGGTATCAGCACCATAGTAGAAGGAACAGGAAGAAAGAGAGAAGTGGAGAGGGAGAGAATTTTAAATGTGAAACATTTTTTTTCTTTTTTTTTTAAATTATATACATTACTATGACTCGTTAATCTTAGATTTCTGTTAAGTATTATAAGGCTACAACACTTGTTTAAATACGATGACGACTAGTGGTCCTAGATATTCTATTTTTAAAATTTTTAAATAGTTCAAAGTGTCGAAACGACGTCGAAGTATGTATTTAAAGAACCAAAGGTAATGATCGGCAGTACACTCTGTCATCCATTCTGTGAGTAAATTATTTGATGCAAATGTGTATCGTTCGTTGCATATCATACTGTCGACGATTATCATGACGAACCGTGAATTCAATTTATTATCTTAACCTGGTATCTCTATTCGAAATTGCACGTTTCTACGATTGTAAACAGGGCCGTATTTACCCATAAGGCGCATCAGGCGCAAGCTGGGGCCTCGCTCTCTGTGGGGTCACATTTGAAAACTGCTCCTCGCAAATAATAATATCAAAAAATAGCCTAGTTACAGTTGCAGAATGAAATACTTATTTGTAAATATTAAATTCGTAATATGAAAACAAGAGGCCGGTGAAAGCGGAAACGCGAAATTCACGAGGGCCTGTTACTCATCGAGTAAATTCTGAACTGATTTATTTTTACTAAAATACAATTTTACTTGGTTAAAATTATTATCATGGAAATGTCGACTTTTATTTTCGAATGAACTTAAAAAGACAAGGGGGAAGGGAATTTGAACAACTGAGATAGATTCGTTCTTTTTTGAGGCCCAAAGTAATGACGTTGCGCCTAGGGCAGAGGCGCTTAACTTCTTGCTCACGAGCAAATTTCCCCTCCCGAGGTTCCCCCACTATGCGGTACGAACACGCAGAATGTGTAACATAAACCAATGGCAGTCGCTGGAGTTGTGGTGGGAGGACTCCTTGCGTCCTCCTCCCGCCTCGCCGCAACTCGGGCGGGACCATCTCAGTCGCATAGTGGGGGAACCTCGGGAGGGGAAATTTGCTCGTGAGCAAGAAGTTAAGCGCCTTTGAACTAAACCATTTACTTACGACGCAACTTCCCCTCAAGCGCCAGCAGTGTAAGACCCAAGAGTAGTGGGGATGACCTGAACCGCCTATTTTGCCTCCATTTTGCTAAGCTGTGACGTCAGAGGCTTCACTTTAGGCTTGTCGGACAGTATGTTGATATACTTGATTTTTACGTATTTCTCTGGTGAAAATAATTTATCTAAATTCACATTAGCAAATGGTACCCAAGGTAAAAATAGATATTCTGTAAATGACATAATTTTCACCGTAAATTCATTTGCTATTATTTACAAGGGAAAATCTCGAAGTGATAATCACTGCTTTGGACGAAACTTTGGTATACGGTAGATCTGAAAAAAATATTCGACGCGTATTTTTTTATATCGGAAATCGTCCACAGCGAAGGGGTGAAAATCGCTCTCAAAGTTGGAGGCAGTGAATATATTTAATTCAATATCTGGAAAATTATTAGAGATAGAGGAATAGTTTAAATGCACGAATTTTGTATTTTTCAACGATAAATTTAAAAAACTAAAGAATAATAAGTAATTTTGTATTTTTCAAATTTTGTCTACGAACGATACAAAATTCGTCAACTTACACCATTCCTCGATGAAATATTTTTTTTAATACTAGCATATACCAAAGTTTCATCAATATCGGTGATTATCACTTCGGAATGTTCGTTTTCCATGTTTGAAATGTTTAAAAAAAGCGGAAGAATTTTGCAATTAATCTAAGTAAATAAAAAAAAGAATTAATCTAACAAGAAGTTCATTTTTTAATTTTTCTAGGAATGGACTGATCACGATTTTCAGAGTCTAACCACGTATTTCATGATACTTATATCCATGACTTTTAACATTTTTATAGTATGTTACATCGGCGAAATATTAACGGAGAGGGTAATGCAATAATTTGTAAATATACAATCGAAGACGTGATTTATACTTACCGAAGAAAAATTCTTAACAGTGTAAAAAAATTGGCGAGGTAGTTTACATGACGAACTGGTACTATTTACCCGGCAAAGATATCCTCGATCTGATTTTGATCATCTCAAGATGCAGTGTTGTGATTAAAATCACCGCTGGCAGGATAGTTCCCATGTCTGTGTACACGTTCGGCGATGTACGTTCTCAATTATTTTTCCTACGTGAAAAGTATCATTGTCCCTAAGCAAATTTATGACAGCTCTTTGCAAAATTTCAGGTGATGAAAAGTGCGTTCGCGTACTTAAATATGCTACGACAAACGACATGACTGAAGCGCGCATGTATCGAACATGTAGATTGGCAATAAAATTCGTAAGTTTGTAATTTAAAAAGAATTTTGACTAATTTGGAAGATTCGTATATTAATTTATATACTAGGTGAAAGAAATTTTAGTTACAATCGTTTAAACCGATTTTTTCCCTAGAAAACAAGTTCACTTATTGGTGAAAATTTACCTTAATTTTCGTTTAGTTAGTTACAAATAATTAAACAAATTTTCACTCTAGATAACAGAGTCACTTATTCGTGAAACTCAGAAATATTATCTTTTCTTTTGGTTAGTTACAAATATTCTAACCAATTTTTCCCCTAGAAAATAAAATCACTTATTGGTGAAACTCGTAAAATTTCCTTAATTTTCTTTTAGTTAATTACAAATATGCAAACCAATTTTCGCCCTAGAAAAGAATGTCTCTTATTCCTGAATTGCATAAAATTTATCTTAGTTAATTACAAACATTTAAACAAAATTTTCACCCTAGAATACAACGTTTCTTATTCGCGAAACTTGTAAACTCCTCAGTTAATTCCAAACATCCAAACCCATTTTACTCCCTAGACAGCAAAATCACTTATTCCTGAAACCACTAAACTTTACCCTACTTACAAAAATTCGAACCACTTTCTACCCTAAAAAAAAAAAGGGAAAAACGCCTTATTCCTAAAACTCGTAAACTTTACCTTAACTTTCGACTGGAAGCAAACTAATCCCACACGTTCCCACTTCGACATCGTTCTCCAAACATTCATTCCGCAGCTTTCACCTGTTCCCACCGAAACCCTTTCACCACAAGTGAAACCTTTACAGTCCCGTCACAATCACGCGACAGTTGCCGCCAACTTCTTAATGTAATTTCGAACCCCTCTGGAACAAGTTCACCGACTAGACAAATCGATCGGCGGTGCAATCCATTCGGCGAAATCTGCGCAAGCGTTGTGCAACCCGGTGCATACGCCGTCTTCTTTACTACAAAATACTCAGTTGTTTCCACGACTTCGATGAGTCGCCACGATGACAAACAACTGTGCGATAAACGTAACTGCGAATTTCGACAGTCTCAGCGACTACAGCTTGCAATTGAACCGATGGTTCTTGAAGCCTATAGGCGCGTGGCCGTTAGCCTCGCCCACCACGAAATTCGAACGAATCCTTTCACACCTTTTAATCTTCCTTTGCTACTGCTTCATACTCTCCACCGTTATCCCAAGCATATTTCACATCATACTAGTAGATGAAAGTCTCCATCTGAAGCTGAAGTTGCTCGGTCCTCTCGGTCACTGGTTCATCGGAGGAATTAATTACACCACGCTGTTGCTACGCAGCAAAGAGATACGCGGCTGCGTGGAGCACATGCAAACAGATTGGAGGATCGTGACCAGACCGGAGGATCAACAAGTGATGTTGAAGAACGCGAAGATCGGTCGTTACGTCGCGATCTTCTGTGCGGCGTTCATGCAATGCGGTGTTCTCTGTTATTGCGTGATAACAGCGTTCACTATGCAGACCGTTCAAGTAGGGAACGAGACCAGAACCGTGCATATGTTGCCGTGTAAAGCTTACAAGAAGATCGTCGCGGTGGACACGAGTCCGACGAACGAGATCGTCCTTGCCTCGCAATTCGTGTCGGGATTTATCGTGAATTCGAGCGCGGTCGGCGCATTCAGCCTTGCCGCCGTGTTCGCGGCACACGCTTACGGCCAGTTGAGCGTGCTGATGATATGGATCACCGAGTTTGTGAATCATTCCAGGGATCAGAATAAAAATGTTTATTTCAGCGAGATCGGCGTGGTTGTCGAACATCATCTGAGGGTACTCAGGTAAGGTACACATTGTTGAATTGAAATTGTCCGCGAGGTTTTAATGAATTTCTGTGATTGTATATTGATTGTAGTTTCATAGCACGTATCGAGGATGTGATGAATCGAATATGCTTCATGGAATTGTTCAAGTGTACTCTGGATATGTGCATGCTTGGCTATTACATTCTCACGGTACACTAGATATATTTAGGAAATGTGTATATGGATGTGTTTAGTAGATCCTTTTTCCTAATTTATACTGATTGGAAAAATACAGAATTTTTTTAAATAGAGCTTTTTTTAGGAAACGTATAATTATTGTCATCGTTAAAACGGAGGAAGTAAAGGATTAGTCTGATTGAAAGTGAACTTTTTCTTTGTTCCTTTAGGAATGGGATAGTTGTTCCGTAGCGCAGGAACGGAACACGCGGAGTCTTCGTTGCCCAGGTTTATGGCAAGGCTATTTTTCAGAATAAAGACGCTTCGTAGCATCGCGAAATATAATTATCGTCAGGCCCGACATGAGAATTTTTGCGTTCAGATATCAAAAAACGATATATTACAAATTATAAATTTTTATTCATTAATGTTATACTGAAACTTAGTATTTTATAACTAATATTACGCTGAAATATTGAAATAAAAGGAAACTACATGGTACTGTCCGAGAGTGACCAAATAAGTACCGGACTAACTGGACTATTTGGACCGTAAAGGGTTCATTTCTTCCGAACAACGGCTTTAGAATTTTCGTTTTTCCTCGATAGCCGATGACGCGCCATAAACCCGGTGTTCCTGAAGGGTCGATCCACGAGTGCGTGTAACGACACTTTCGGTCGAGGATTGACCTGGAGGGAATTTCCGACGCGTCGCCGAACGACTTCGAAGACTTCACGTACTGAGCGTCCACGAGAAGAAATGCGAGTCTGATTGGATCGTACCCTCGGTAAGCCCACCTTTTCTAACACAATCGTAGAAACCGGGCACACGTATGGTCATTAGTGGCCGAACGGGATTACATCGACGAATCGGATCGTGTAGTACTGAATGGCGGAAGACTTGGACGGTGCCAGTGAACTACCCCCGTTACCCTGGTACCGTCGCAAATGCTATCTTCTCGTGGACGCACGGTACCCGCAGGTATCGCCTCACTTCCTTCGAAGAAAAAGCGCGCTAATGGCGCACTGGAAGGATGGGCGACACTCAAGAGGCGCGTTGATTGGTAATTTGTAATTTCGTGACAAATCAATCAGCGTGCCATCTTGCATTCACGGAGGAGTCACAATCGGACTCCTGAACAAATCAGCACATTCGTATGTCGTACTTACTCGAGACGTTCGTGGAAAAGTGATTCGTTCGTTTTACATTCGGAAAGTCATTCGTTCGTTAGATAGATTCATTCTTAACAAGTAATCGTCCGCAAACGTCCGAGCGGAACTCGTAAATGCCATCTTTCAAGCAATTTTTAGCATTTTTTTTCAACAGAACAGTTTTTCAAACTTTTTGCATTGAGATTTGGCATATAAATTTATGGGTATTTAAAATACGTAATATATTTTGTTGAAGTAAAAACAATGAAAATTACAGGAGTTACAGTTCGTTTCATAGTGTGCTTTACAAAAAGTGTGTTGACTGTTTACACGATTCCTGGCCTTCTGCCGATCTAAAATAAAAAAATGAGGAAGAATCTTAATCGGTATAAATCTGGCTATGGTCTGAACAAAAATAAAATAAAAATATCGATTATTTACAAAATAGCAACATTTTGAATTTAGATTACCGATTTTTTTCATATTTTGGCGACTTTAGCGTGTTAAAAAAATAAGAAAAAAACGGCGGATGTTAAAAATTTTGGTTCATATGATAACAGAATATGTGTTAAAGATTCTCTACAAATTTCAAGTCAATGGATAAACTAGATCTCGAGATATCGTGTAAACCGTTTCGAAAAATGAGCTTTCGAAAAAAAAACATCTAAAGATTCATCTGTTCATTTCGTTACGGTACTTTCGAACGCTTACATCTAAATTAATTTTACGAATTCAAACAAATACTTTTGCACATATGTTACAGAACAGTCATACTTTAAGAAAATGCAAAAAAAAAATTGATTTTTTGAAACTTCGAAACCAGAATACCCCATTAAAGTCTTTTTTATCTGTTTTTGCTCACGTTCGAGCGAACGGAATTGTCTCCGAATGCTGTCTCCTTTTTCTCAGGATAATTTCCTTTTTAGCAATGTCTGTTTTTCTAGGAATGGTCTGACAGCGATGTTCAGACAATGACTACGCATTTCATGATCCTTATATCCATGTGTTTCAACATTTTTACAGTATGCTATATCGGAGAAATACTAACTGAACAGGTAATTTAAACCTAATTTAAAAAATGAATAATCGAAGATACTATAGATACTCACCGATGAAATTTCCGACAGTGTAAAAAAGTTGGTGAGGTGGTTTATATGACGAATTGGTATTATTTACCCGACAAAGATATTCTCAATTTGCTTCTCATCATTTCAAGATCTAGCCTGGTAATTAAAATTACCGCTGGAAAATTAATTCAAATGTCCGTGTACACGTTCGGCGATGTACGTTCACTTCTTTTTACACGTTCTATCTGAAACATACAATCGATCCTCCAATAAACTGATAAAATCACTTTGCAATTGCAGGTAATAAAAACCACTTTCGCGTATTTAAATATTCTACGCCAAACGACGTGACCAATACGAACATGTACGAAACATGTAATTTATGACAAATTTACGACAAAGCTTGAAATATTAATAAAATAAAATATAACATGAGTAACAATACTTAATTGCAAATATTCTTTTCGCTTTTCTTTCAAATTTTGCAAATCCAATCAAATGTTTCTGCAATTTTATAGTAGAAAAATATGCAAAATATTTGAGAATAACGTTAGAATCTCTTAAGATACATGAACAATCACACTAGTGTAGGAATGATAGAATTTCGTGTCACTGTTTAATATGGAACGAAAGTTGCATGAAAGGAGAATACTTGAGATAGAGCGATAAAGGTGCGAATTGGGTGACTGACAAGAGTATAGTTGGTGGAAGAAATATAGCAATACAATTAAGGCGTAGATATATTTTGCATATTTTACTACCTCATAATTGCACAAACATCTACAACCCTGAAATACCTCAATAATTTCACACAAACCCAGCCACACCGCGTTTCACCGTCGACTAATCAACTATTTGTAGAGAAGAGCACGCACATGCTGTACTCTAATCTTTCTCATTGTAATAACAGCCAGCAAAAGTGGTAGCACATGCGCAATACAGAAACATCATTAATCGATGTATCTCTCTTACCGTTCACCGTTGAGTGTCAGTTGTGCGTGCACTTTCGTCTAGCTAGTATCATCCCACAAATGGCACTGGTCACTTCGTCAACCGATTCGACGTGGAACACGGATTGGATGTACAGCGTACAGATGAACCGTTGGTTTCTCAAACCGATTGGCGTATGGCCTCTCAGTCTCTGCGTGACCACCTTGGAAAAGATCAGTTCCGTGGTCCTCGCGTTAATCAGTTGCTTCCTGATAGGTTTCCTCTTGGTACCGTGCGCTCTGTGCACAGTGCTCGACAAAACCGGCGATCTCGACACGAAGATCAAAATGATCGGTCCTCTAAGTTTCTGCACGATGGCAACGATCAAATATTACATTCTAATGTCGCGCGGCGGCAAGATCGGCAAATGCGTGAATGACATTCGTACGGACTGGTCTCTTACACTTTCGTATCGTCAAGAAGAGGAGAGAGAGATCATGAGGGACAGCGCTAGAATTGGACGATCTTTGGCGATCTTCAGCGCCGGTTTCATGTATTCCGGCGGAGTTTTCTACACCGCCGTGATGCCGTTGTTCGCAGTACGCACGGAGATCATCGACAATGAAACGGTGAGATCTCAAGCGTTCCCGATCTATCGCGGCCTCCTCGATCCGCGTACCAGCCCGTCGTTCGAGATCGTGCAATTCATGCAATGCTTGGCCGCGTTCGTTTTATACTCGGTCACTGTTGGAGCTTGCAGCTTGATTGCTGTGTTCGTCATGCACGTCTGTGGGCAATTCAGGATACTTGTGACAAAGCTGGATAAGCTCATCGACGGAGTGAAAGGGAGGAAGAGCTTGAGCACGCATGAACAACGACTGGGAGATATCATCGAGCATCATCTGAAGATACTGGGGTAAAGGGTGTTCAGATTTTTTGTTAATCTATGACATTTACATGTATGCAAATTTTTTTGTACCGTAGGATCACGTGTAAGGCGATTAAAATGCGATTGAAAAATTGTTACTGCCCCCGTTTAACGTGATAAGAAAAAAGAGAAAGAGAGCATACAAATTTTAAATTTGTAATTTTGAGATTTTTAGTTAAGTAAATTTGACCCAAAATGCGATCAAACAAAAAAAGAAGGAACGTACAAATTCTGAATTTGGAATTTTGAAATTTTCAGTTAATTAAATTTGACCCAAAACGCAATTAAAAATTTGTTACTGCCTCCGTATTACACGATTAAAAAAAAAGAGGAAAGAACATACAAGTTCTGAATTTGCAATTTTGAGATTACTTAAGTTTTACCTGAAACGCGATGGCCATGGAACATAATTTACATTATATTTCCCGCGTTATAGGAGGTCCTAAGGTACATGGAATATTTAATGTACATGCATCATAGTAAATTTGTGTGTACGCATCATAATAAATTTCTGTGAGAAAGCAGCTGAGTAACAGTGGAAAATACGAACGATTTTCAGTTTTATATCGCAAATCGAGGGGCTCCTGAACGAAATATGTTTCGTCGAGGTGATTGGTTGCACGTTGAACATATGCTTTTTGACATATTATTTACTCACGGTAACAGAGACGACTTATGTTATTTCCATATTGTAATGGCAAAAATTGCATTCGTCATGTACTCGTTGTCAGTTTTCTAGGAATGGGAGCAAAATGACGCTATAGGAACGTTCACGTATTTAATGTTTCTCATATCTTTAACGTTCAACGTTTTCATACTCTGTTACATCGGTGAAATTCTCTCCGAACAGGTATTTTTCATTTCTTCAACGATCTATTATTGTGAAGCGAGATTTCAGAGACATTTATAAGCTTCGTTTCATAGTGCTTAAAAGTCGGCGTGTCAACTTACATGATCGACTGGTATCGTTTGCCAGGGAAGAAAGCACAAGGTTTGATACTGATATTCGCCGTGTCGAATTCTTCCATAAAATTAACAGCTGGAAAGATCATCGATCTCTCTTTAAGCAGCTTCTGCAGCGTGAGTATCATAAATTTATCCTATTATCATTTGTACGATAATTGTTTTGAATGAAACTTTCTATATTACAGGTGTTAAAAACGGCATTCGCATATCTGAGCTTATTACGTACGCTTACCACATGATTTCATTGTTATTCTACAAAGCAAATGGTGTTCCTTTCTTTGTTGTTAAAATCATAACTTAGTTTATTAGAATCTAGAAGCCAAGTATTAAGAGAAACATCTTACCTTTTTCGATTGTCGACGAATACAGTTCGAGAAATTACGGATCAAGAACACCGATTCCTTTGAAAAAAAAATTGCAATCTTTTAATTACTCGCTGTCGTTACTCCACCTATCCACAGAAGTACACTTATGTTAACCCTTATCCGGATAGTTTGTTTATGTAACGTAGACGAACGGTTGGAATCTGTTGAAATATATGAGTGTTAACGCATGATTTTGGTAAAAGGTATAATTTGTTTTTAGGATAAATTTTCAAAAATACTCGGAACTTTTTGAAAATTTATTTATTTGGTTATTATTCGGGATTAAATGAATTACTTATGTGTTAAGTATAGTTGGTGGAAGTGATATAGTGAGATCGTAAATTAAAACGTTAAGTAGCGGCACAGATTGATAGAGTGATACTCAGGGTTGCATAGGGTATTTTACGTTTCTCAATTGGAAATGAATCAAAGGTAACACATATTTTGTGCGACTCTGTCTGAGATTTCGAGCCCTTATCTGCTCAGGTTTCTCTCGATTTGTTTGTCGATAATTTTGACGCTTGAGCGACACTTACGACCTCGCTATATTTCTTCCATCGACTATACTCAGTCCCAACGCACTCTTCTTTCGTGGAATATTCAAAAAATTTGCGTTTTAATCGCTTCCCTATATTTTTTTCACCGACTATACTCAGTCCTAGACACCATTCTTTCGCAATATGTTTCAAACATTTGTCCGCGCCTTAACCGGCACGCTACATTTCTTCCACCGACTATACTCAGTCCCAAACACTCTTCTTTCGCGGTATATTCGGAGATTCTTGGAAAAATAGCTGATACAATCTGATGGACACACTCTTACCGTTCACTTAACTAATTTTCTTTGCTTCCAAAAAATCTTCAACACTTTTCACTTACAGGGCTATAAATTCTCTTGATACGATAGAAGAATTCATAGAAGCAATGTCGAATCTCTCAAGTACTCTTCGAAATATTTTGAAAAAACTAAACGTATGAGTCCATTGTGTTCACTTTGACCACATAAGAGTAAAGTCGAACAATATGAAATATCATACTTTTCATAGAAGAATAAAAATCATTTAGCGGAAGACTAGGACGGTGCCAGTGAACTACCCCCGTTTCCCTTGTACCGTCGCACATGCTATCTTCTCGTGGACGCACGGTACCCGCAGGTATCGCCTCACTTCCTTCGAAGAAAAAGCCGGACGGTGCCAGTGAACTACCCCCGTTTCCCTTGTACCGTCGCACATGCTATCTTCTCGTGGACGCACAGTACCCGCAGGTATCGCCTCACTTCCTTCGAAGAAAAAGCGCGCTAATGGCGCACTGGAAGGATGGGCGACACTCAAGAGGCGCGTTGATTGGTAATTTGTAATTTCGTGACAAATCAATCAGCGTGCCATCTTGCATTCACGGAGGAGTCACAATCGGACTCCTCAACAAATCAGCACATTCGTATGTCGTACTTACTCGAGACGTTCGTGGAAAAGTGATTCGTTCGTTCTACATTCGGAGAGTCACTCGTTCGTTAGGTAGATTCATTCTTAACAAGTAATCGTCCGCAAACGTCCGAGCGGAACAAACCGAGCCTATTAGGGATATTCTGGTTGTAAATGCCATATTTCAAGCAATTTGTAGCATTTTTTCTCAACAGAACAGTTTTTTAAACTTTTTGCATTGAGATTTGGCATATACATTTATGGGTATTTAAAATACGTAATATATTTTGTCGAAGTAAAAACGATGAAAATTACACGAGTTACGGTTCGTTTCATAGTGTGCTTTACAAAAAGTGTGTTGACTGTTTACACGATTCCTGACCTTCTGCCGATCTAAAATAAAAAAATGAGGAAGAATCTTAATCGGTATAAATCTGGCTATGGTCTGAACGAAAAGAAAATAAAAATATCGATTATTTACAAAATAGCAACATTTTGAATTTAGATTACCGATTTTTTTCATATCTTGGCGACTTTAGCGTGTTAAAAAAATAAGAAAAAAATGGCGGATGTTAAAAATTTTGGTTCATATGATAACAAAATATGTGTTAAAGATTCTCTACAAATTTCAAGTCAATGGATAAACTAGATCTCGAGATATCGTGTAAACCGTTTTGAAAAATGAGCTTTCAAGAAAAACGCGTTTAAAGATTCATCTGTCCATTTCTTCACAGTACGACTGCATCCTTCAAACGCTTACATCTAAATTAATTTTACGAATTCAAACAAATACTTTTGCACACATGTTCCAGAACAGTTATACTTTAAGAAAATGCCAAAAAAAATTGATTTTTTGAAGGTTCGAAACCAGAATACCCCCTTAGAGTCTTTCTTATCCGTTTTCGCTCACGTTCGAGCAAACGGAATTGTCTCCGAATGCTGTCTCCTTTTTCTCAGGATAATTTCCTTTTTAGCAATGTCTGTTTTTCTAGGAATGGTCTGACGGCGATGTTCAGACTATGACTACGCATTTCATGATCCTTATATCCATGTGTTTCAACATTTTTACAGTATACTATATCGGGAAAATACTAACTGAACAGGTAACTTAAACCTAATTTAAAAAATGAATAATCGAAGATACGATGGATACTCACCGATGAAATTTCCGACAGTGTAAAAAAGTTGGTGAGGTGGTTTATATGACGAATTAGTTTTATTTACCCGACAAAGATATTCTCAATTTGCTTCTCATCATTTCAAGATCTAGCCTGGTAATTAAAATTACCGCTAGCAAATTAATTCAAATGTCCGCGTACACGTTCGACGATGTACGTTCACTTCTTTTTACACGTTCTATCTGAAACATACAATCGATCCTCCAATAAACTGATAAAATCACATTGCAATTGCAGGCAATAGAAACCACTTTCGCGTATTTAAATATTCTACGCTAAACGACGTGACCAATACGAACATGTACGAAACATGTACTTTATGAAAAATTTGCGACAAAGCTTGAAATATTAATAAAATAAAATATAACATGAGTAACAATAATTAATTCCAAATTTTCTTTTCGCTTTTCTTTCAAATTTTGCAAATCCAATCAAAGTTTCTGCAATTTTATAGTAGAAAAATAGGCAAAATATTTGAGAATAACGTTAGAATCTCTTAAGATACGTGAACAATTACACTAATGTAGGAATGAAAGTATTTCGTGTCACTGTTTAATATGGAACGAAAGTTGCATGAAAGGAGAATACTTGAGATAGAGCGATAAAGGTGCGAATTGAGCGACTGACAAGAGTATAGTTGGTGGAAGAAATATAGCGAAACGTTTAAAGTGCAGACAATTTTTTTAAATATATTGCAAAAGAGGAGCATTTGGGACTGAGTATAGTCGGTGGAAGAAACATAGCAATGCAATTAAGGCGCAGACAATTTTTTTAAATATATTTCCTAATAATAAATATTTCATTTAAAAATTTACACCTGTCCAAACCTAATCACACAAACCACAAAACCCTACTCTAATCTACAAAAAAATCTTACCCTCCTATATTTTGCATATTTTACTACCTCATAATTGCACAAACATCTACAACCCTGAAATACCTCAATAATTTCACCTACGAAGATCCTACCACACAACCCCATCCACACCGCGTCTCACCGTCGACTAATCAACTATTGGTAGAGAAGGGCACGCACAAACTGCACTTATCTTTCTCATTGTAATAATAGCCAGCGAAAGTGGTAGCACATGCGCGATACCGAAACTTCATTAATCGATGTATCTCTCTTACCGTTCACCGTTGCGTGTCAGTTGTGCGTGCACTTTCGTCTGGCTAGTATCATCCCACAAATGGCACTGGTCACTTCTTCAACCGATTCGACGTGGGACACGGATTGGATGTACAGCGTACAGATGAACCGTTGGTTTCTCAAACCGATTGGCGTATGGCCTCTCAGTCTCTGCGTGACCACCTTGGAAAAGATCAGTTCCGTGGTCCTCGCGTTAATCAGTTGTTTCCTGATAGGTTTCCTCTTGGTACCGTGCGCTCTGTGCACAGTGCTCGACAAAACCGGCGATCTCGACACGAAGATCAAAATGATCGGTCCTCTGAGTTTCTGCATGATGGCAGCGATCAAGTATTACATTCTAATTTCGCGCGGCGGCAAGATCGGCCAATGCGTGAAGGACATTCGTGCGGACTGGTCTCTCACGCTTTCGCATAGTCAAGAAGAGGAGAGAGAGATCATGAGGGACAGCGCTAGAATTGGACGATCTTTGGCGATCTTCTGCGCCGGTTTCATGTATTCCGGAGGATTTTTCTACACCACGGTGATGCCGTTGTGCACAGTACGCACGGAGATCATCGACAACGAGACCGTGAGATCTCAAGCGTTCCCGATCTATCGCGGCCTTCTCGATCCGCGTACCAGCCCGTCGTTCGAGATCGTGCAATTCATGCAATGCTTGGCCGCGTTCGTTATATACTCGGTCACTGTTGGAGCTTGCAGCTTGGCTGCTGTGTTCGTCATGCACGTCTGTGGACAATTTAGGATACTTGTGACAAAGCTGGATAAGCTCGTCGACGGAGTGAAAGGGAGGAAGGGGTTGAGCACGCATGAACAACGACTGGGAGATATCATCGAGCATCATCTGAAGATACTGGGGTAAAGGGTGTTCAGATTTTTTGTTAATCTATGACATTTACATGTATGCAAATTTTTTGTACAGTAGGACCCCGTTAAGGAAATTAAAATGCGATTGAAAAATTGTTACTATCCCCGTATAACACGATTTAAAAAAAAAAAGAAGAGAGAATATACAAATTCCGAATTTGCAATTTTGAAATTTCCAAATTACTTAAATTTTACCCAAAGCGCGATGTCCATGGAACTTAATTTGCATTACATTTCCCGCGTTATATGTAGGAGGTCCTACGGCATATGCAATATTTAATGTACATGCATCATAGACAATTTGTGTGTATGCATCATAGTAAATTTATGTATACGCATCATAGTAAATATCTATGAGAACGCAGCTGGCTAACAGTGGAAAATACGAACGATTTTCAGTTTTATATCGCAAATCGAGGGGCTCCTAAACGAAATATGTGAGTTTCTGCATGATGGCAGCGATCAAGTATTACATTCTAATTTCGCGCGGCGGCAAGATCGGCCAATGCGTGAAGGACATTCGTGCGGACTGGTCTCTCACGCTTTCGCATAGTCAAGAAGAGGAGAGAGAGATCATGAGGGACAGCGCTAGAATTGGACGATCTTTGGCGATCTTCTGCGCCGGTTTCATGTATTCCGGAGGATTTTTCTACACCACGGTGATGCCGTTGTGCACAGTACGCACGGAGATCATCGACAACGAGACCGTGAGATCTCAAGCGTTCCCGATCTATCGCGGCCTTCTCGATCCGCGTACCAGCCCGTCGTTCGAGATCGTGCAATTCATGCAATGCTTGGCCGCGTTCGTTATATACTCGGTCACTGTTGGAGCTTGCAGCTTGGCTGCTGTGTTCGTCATGCACGTCTGTGGACAATTTAGGATACTTGTGACAAAGCTGGATAAGCTCGTCGACGGAGTGAAAGGGAGGAAGGGGTTGAGCACGCATGAACAACGACTGGGAGATATCATCGAGCATCATCTGAAGATACTGGGGTAAAGGGTGTTCAGATTTTTTTTTAATCTATGACATTTACATGTATGCAAATTTTTTGTACAGTAGGACCCCGTTAAGGAAATTAAAATGCGATTGAAAAATTGTTACTATCCCCGTATAACACGATTTAAAAAAAAAAAGAAGAGAGAATATACAAATTCCGAATTTGCAATTTTGAAATTTCCAAATTACTTAAATTTTACCCAAAGCGCGATGTCCATGGAACTTAATTTGCATTACATTTCCCGCGTTATATGTAGGAGGTCCTACGGCATATGCAATATTTAATGTACATGCATCATAGACAATTTGTGTGTATGCATCATAGTAAATTTATGTATACGCATCATAGTAAATATCTATGAGAACGCAGCTGGCTAACAGTGGAAAATACGAACGATTTTCAGTTTTATATCGCAAATCGAGGGGCTCCTAAACGAAATATGTTTCGTCGAGGTGATTGGTTGCACGTTGAACATATGCTTTTTGGGATATTATTTACTGACGGTAACAGAGACGACTTGTGTTATTACCATACTGTAATGGCAATAATTGCATTCGTCATGTACTCGTTGTCAGTTTTCTAGGAATGGGAGCAAAGTGAAACTATAGGAACGATCACGTATTGCACGTTGCTGGTATCTTTCACGTTCAACGTTTTCATACTCTGTTACATCGGTGAAATTCTCTCCGAACAGGTATTTTTCATTACTTCAACGATCTATTATTGTGAAACGAGATTTCAGTGACATTTATACGCTTCGTTTAATAGTGCTTAAAAGTCGGCTTGTCAACTTACATGATCGACTGGTATCGTTTGCCAGGAAAAACAGCTCAAGGTTTGATACTGATATTCGCCGTGTCGAATTCTTCCATAAAATTAACAGCTGGAAAGATCATCGATCTCTCTTTAAGCAGCTTCTGCAGCGTGAGTATCATAAATTTATCCTATTATCATTTGTACGATAATTTTTTTGAATGAAACGTCCTATATTACAGGTGTTGAAATCGGCATTCGCATATCTGAGCTTATTACGTACGCTAACCACATGACTCCATTGTTATTCTACGAAGCTAAGGTGTTCCTTTCTTTGTTGTTAAAATCATAACTTAGTTTATTCGAATCTAGAAGACATAAGAATTAACAGAAACATCTCACCTTTTTCGATTGTCGACGAATACAGTTCGAGAAATTACGGATAAAGAACACCGATTCCTTTGAAAAAGAATTTGCCATCTTTTAATTACTCGCTGTCTTTACTCCACCTGCCCACAGAAGTACACTTATTAGTAAGGCATATTTTGTGCGACTCTGACTGAGATTTCGAGCTGTTATCTGCTCAGGTTTCTCTCGATTCGTTTATCGATAATTTTGACGCTTGAGCGACACTTACGACCTCGCTATATTTCTTCCATCTACTATACTCAGTCCCAACGCACTCTTCTTTCGTGGAATATTCAAAAAATTTGCGTTTTAATCGCTTCCCCATTTTTTTTTTCGCCGACTAAACTGAGTCCTAGACACCTTTCTTTCGCAATATGTATTACATAGTGTCGGCCTACCGTTTGACTGCCAGTTGGAGAATAGGCCTGCCGTTTGATTGACACTTGTAGAATCAGCCCTCCATTTGACTGACACTTGTAGAATCGGCCCTCCATTTGACTGACACTTGCAGAATCGGCCCTCCATTTGACTGACACTTGTAGAATCGAGCCTCCATTTGACTGACACTTGTAGAATCAGGCCTCCATTTGACTGACACTTGTATCCTTTTTTTTTTTTACGTGGAGGTAGGCCGACTCTATGTGATAAACAATTGGCAACCAAACGGTGGCTCTCCCTCTACATTCGACGGATAATGTATACAGGTATTTAATGTATTTTTTTAGCAATTTGTTTTTGTAAATCATCCAAAACGATATATTATGAAATTAAATTAATCACTCAATAAGTATTAACATTAGATTGTTTCCTCGATACGGCCATGGTGGTCATCAGTGACTAGAGTGCCTCAAATGTTTAGAATAATTAAAATAAAATAAATGTTGTCAACTAAAAGTTTTGATCGTCATAGCTAGCTAGACATTATTTTAAATTGAAAAAAAAATTATAAAGCATAATACTATAATCTTATGCTTAAAATAATTAATATTTTCTTGTGGCCGCCTGAGAGAAACCTGTAAATCTGGCGTGACAGTGAACGTGTTAATAAGTAAATGTTGTTCAAATTATGTCGTGTTTGATACCATTTTCATCAGAAAAATTTCACCAACATGTTAAAAAAAATTCCAGATGAAAAAAAGTAAAAATTAAAGAAATTATATTTTTCTATTATGATTTGTGGAGCCGTGAAATCTCGTAAAGGAAACCGACTGCTGTAGTGTTAGCGTTCGGCTAACTACAAAGGCGGGCGCGAGGCTCGAAAACCGAGTCCCTGACTCTACAAGTATCAGGTTTAGGTTCCTTGCGGAGTGACACTTGTAGAGACATTACTGTACTCAGTCCCAACGTACTCTTCTTACGTGGAATATTCAAAAAATTTGCATCTTAATCGCTTCCCTATTTTTTTTTCGCCGACTAAACTGAGTCCTAGACACCTTTCTTTCGCAATATACTTAAAAAATTTGTCCGCGCCTTAACCGGCACGCTATATTTCTTCCACCGACTATACTCAGTCCCAAACACTCTTCTTTCGCAGTATATTCGGAGGTTTCTGGAAAAATAGCTGATACAATCTGATGGACACACTCTTACCGTTCACTTACCTAATTTTCCTTGCTTCCAAAAAATCTTCAACACTTTTCACTTACAGGGCTATAATTCACTTGATACGATAGAAGATTTCATAGAAGCAATTTCAAGTACTCTTCGAAATATTTTGAAAAAACTAAACGTATGAGTCCATTGTGTTCACTTTGAACACATAAGAGTAAAGTCGAGCAATATGAAATATCACTCTTTTCACAGAGCAAATTAAATTCAAGCAAAAATTCCCCAACAATAGCCTACCAAAAATTCTATCAACTTCAAATCAATACCACAAAACCTCGAAAATTTCCAACATTCACCTATAACCACTTGCTCGATCAATTCACAATTAATCAAAAATCCAACATTTCATATCACACAACCTAACACAAACGAAATAACAACTATCCTCTCCCGTATCGCTATCCAACCGTTCGCAGCTGAGACAACTCGAGCACAACTCAGCGTCGGGAAGCAACACGTGATTGCGTCGCTCTATTCCTATCGATCATAAAATACAGTTTCATTCATTCACAACCACGCGCTTGCGTCCCTTAGCGAGCGTGTTCCTCTCTGTTCGTCGTCCCTGTTCTAAAACAGTCGTGGTTCAGTCGACGCCGCGCTTCCAAGGTGTCAGCATGCGATCGTTCAGCAGCGATCGTCCGTCGAACGATCGTTACGAAACGGACATACGTTACACGTTCGAATTATGCCATTGGATCTTGAAACCGATAGGCATGTATCCTTTCGTCTTTAGCCGTGCGAGCAGACGCGAACGAACGGCGTCGGTGTTGCTGATTCTGGTATGTTGCTCGATCCTCCAGTTCATCATAGTACCGTTCAGTCATCACGTTCTATTCAGCGACAACGACATGAACACGTTCGTTAAGAATCTCGGACCGTTGACGTTCTGTTTGACCACGTTCTTCAAGTATTGCTACTTCAGCATGAAAGGTTCAGCGATCGGTCGTTGCGTGAAACACATCGAGAGAGACTGGAAGATGTTGCGTGACGAGGATCATCGTGTTATCATGCTCAGATACGTGACGATGAGCCGGAATCTCATAAAACTGTGCGCGATCTTCTTGTACATAGGTGGTCTGTCTTATAACACTGTCATACCGTTGTTCTCGAAGAAGAGCGTGAACGGTAACGTGACTATCAGACCTCTAACTTATCCCGGTTACGAGGAGTTCTTCGACGTTCAGAAGAGTCCAGCGTACGAGATCGTCTTCTGTATGCACTGTGTCTACGTCATGATCACGGCGAACATCACAATGGCGGCGTACAGTTTGACGACGATCTTCGCCACTCATACTTGCGGTCAGATTAAGATACAAACGACGCGGCTGGAGGATCTGACAAAGAGAGGGATGCTGTTGGAGAAGGGAGTGAGTGATCGTTTGGCGGTTGTTGTGAGCGGTCACGTGGAGATCTTGAAGTAAGATGATTGATACAGGTATTCAGGGGTGTCTCGTTTATGGGGAATATGTAAATTGTCCTCGTTGGACGTTGAAAGCGAGAAGAAATCGCTGAGGAGAATTTATGTGCGTTTCTACATTCTTCGAAGGAAAAGGCTGTCGATATGTTTTTTTATTGTTGCTTGAAGTCACTTTAGGGTTACAATGTTGTATTGTAAAGAATAGAAATTTTGTCGAAATATATGTAAAATTTTTCATTTGTCAGTGGTGCAAATAATAATCGCGCAAGAAATGATAAAACTGTAATGATAAATAAATCTTACTAAAGTCATTTTGAAGATCATTCCAAGGTCATCGATATTATTTTGCACATTAACATCTGTTTCTTACAATACCGACATCTTTGTTGGTATTATATATACCTATATACTTGTTGAAACATCTGACAATGTTTCTTGGAATGATAAGAGACATGAAAGCAAGTTCAAGTGACGATAAACAGAAAAATCGAAATCAATTTTGAGTTATTTCTCTACCTTATCTTTTATCATCGCGAAATGCACTTTTCATAGAAACGAGAATAATTTAGATGCTTGTTATATATGGGACACCCTACATACACGCATATATATGTATAACTGAATATGTACCTTATATTAAAATCTGAAATTTCAGATTCACGAGGATGATCGAAAGCGCGTTGCATGAAATATTCTTGATAGAAGTAATAGTATCCACTGTGTTACTATGCTTGATCGAATATCTCTTAATGATGGTAAAAAAGTGTGATAAATTTGTCAAATATAAACGTACCGGATACTCGAGGAAAAGAAAAAAAAGTATCGAACGTATCGTTACGTAAATATCGTTATAACGTGAATAATTCGAAACTTTTGTATACTTTTAGGAATGGGAGAGTAGCGATTCGATCGGGATATTAACATACGTCACTCTCCTCACTTCTTTCACTTTCAACATACTGATATTCTGTTACGTTGGCGAACTTCTTCTTGGACAGGTAAGTACTGGTCACTAGTGGTCACTATAGATCAATAATGGTTACTGTTGGCCACCGCTATTGGTCAGTACTGGTCAGTATTCGTCATTACTACTAATTAGTATTGGTCACTACTGATCAGTACTGGTCAGAATTGGTTATTACTCATCAGTACTGGTCAGAACTTGTCACTACTGGTCAGTATTCGTCGCTACTACTGATTACTATTGGTTACTACTGATCAGTACTGGTCAGAACTGGTCACTACTGGTCAGTATTCGTCATTACTACGGGTTAGTATTGGTCACTACTGATCAGTACTGGTCAGAACTGGTCACTACTGGTCAGAATTGGTTACTACTGATCAGTACTGGTCAGAACTGGTTATTACTGATCAGTATTGGTCACTACTGATCTGTACTGGTCAGAACTGGTCACTAGTGGTCAGAATTGGTTACTACTGATCTGTACTGGTCAGAACTTGTCACTACTGGTCAGTATTCGTCGTTACTACTGATTAGTATTGGTCACTACTGATCAGTACTGGTCAGAATTGGTTATTACTGATCAGTACTGGTCACTACTGATCTGTACTGGTCAGAACTGGTCACTACTGGTCAGAATTGGTTACTACTGATCGGTACTGGTCAGAAATGGTCACTACTGATCAGTATTCGTCGCTACTACTGATTAGTACTGGTCAGAACTGGTCGGTATTGGTCAGTACTGGTCGCTACTGATCAGTACTAGTCATAATTGGTCACTATTGGTCAGTATTCGTCACTACTACTGGTCAGTAGGAACACTTACTCGAAAAGACATATACTTCTAGTCCCAATTCATTCGCATTACATGTTCACCTCATTTCTCTCATTCGATTTTCCAACGTAGACGGAATATTTAGCTGGAATAATAGACACGAGTGTTGTACCAGGGTAGTGAAATCGCGCACGCTTCCTACGATACAGAATGGTACAATCTGCCGAGACGGAAGGCTCGTGACATCGTTCTGGTGCTTGCCATAACGAAACATCCGATCAAACTTACAGCAGGCAAAATATTCGTTCTCTCGTTGAACACTTTTGGCGCTGTACGTGAATCAAAACTAGTCTTGATACACTAAGAACGTATAGTTGATGGAAGCGATACAGCGAGCTCGTGAAGTAAAGCATTAAGCGACGACACCGATTGATGTAGCTGCGCTCAGTGTCGTCTGTCATTTGTGAATTGATATTTAAAATTTCTGCTTGCAATCTTCACCGTTTTAGTGTATTCGTCATCGAAAAGTGCCATCGTATCGGGCCACGAAAAGTGTAAATTTTATTCTATTTCTTATAATCTGTCTATTTTTTTATAAAAAATTGAACAAAAATCCTGCACAAAAGTCGTATTCAATGAAAGTGTCGAAAACAAAATTTTTGGAATTTTTCGACGTCAAATGAAAGAAGCACGATCGCGCCGCTTGGCCAGTAACCCGCGGCACTCAAACGGTTAAGATGTATTTACGATATTAAGCTTCTGTTATCTTCCGCTCGATAACAATAATTACCGTATTGGTAAAAATTTACCTACAGCAGTCAACAATTAAAGCTCGGACGATTTTTTTAAATACACTGCAATGGAAAAAGCAATTCGAAATTGACGTCGAACGGCCCTGTGCAAGGTCGAGCTCCTTATATCGCTTCCACCGACTATACTCCCGAACAAAGTCATTAACGTACAAAAGAATCTCTGATTTGCAGGTGCTGAAATCGTCGGTAGTTTACATGAACATGCTACGAACCGTCACTGAATTCTAACCAAGCTCTCTAAAACGTGTTAAGAATGAAAATCCTCTACATAGATTCTATTCGATTCACCTACCATCCAAGAACGAATCTAAACTTTATCATTGAAACGATCAGTGTTGTTTCTAATGTAACGAGGAAATTCAAATTAACATTCTACGTCACGCGGAAGATAGAATTGTACAATAAACATTGAAGTATTGAGTCTTGAAACTTGAAAGTAAATTTAAGGTACTCATCGTTAAAAACATCTTCCCACGAAACGATGAAAATTAATAAAAATCGCTCTGAAGAAACAGTAGTACGTACCGGTTCTTCTCGTCTCTAGAACATCGAAGTAGCTTTATGTGAAATTAGTCAGACAGGCTTTTACTTTTACCATTTTCGAACAGAGTAGGCCACGCCTTTCTCGAGCAGAGTAAGCCACGCCTTTCTCGAGCAGAGTAAGCCACGCCTTTCTCGAGCAAACATCCTATAGCGGAGCACTGTATTAATTATATAATAATTAAGCTAACTTAATATTTATTTGAACACTTGATATCGTAGTACTCGATGCAATGATTCGGACAGATTAACGTTCGGAGAACTAAATTGAAACAGCGGAAAAATTGCAAAGGTTCGAAGGTTCGGAAAGATCAGAATTGGAGCTAGCAAGAATGGTCAAGTTTAGGAAATTATGGAGGACAATTAAGATAACTTAATATTTATTTGGACACTTAATATTGCAATACTCGGTAGAGTAGTTCACACAGATTAACGTTCGAAGAAGTGAACTCTGACGACGGAAAAATAACAAAAGTTTTGAAGGGATAAAGATCAGTGAATCGGTGTTTCAGGTATAGCAAGTGAAATATTCAGATAACATACTGACAGGTGGCGACTACATTACTGTACGAATCTCAGGAGTTTTCCGCTGGAAGGAATGCCAGTTTCATTGGGTTATATCCCCACCTTCTCTAACACAATCATAGAAACCGGACAGACGTATTGTCCCTATTCGTAAAACGTCCGACCTACCGAATTAATTATACCCTCTTCTCTATCCACATTCAAAATTACGAACTCACGAAATGCATACGCGAACTTTACCTTTCTCTACGCCCTTCCCCAACAGCGGTGGCAGAGAGACGGATACCTGTCGACAAAAAGTTCCCCAACTTCATTTCGTATTCATCGACACATGCACCCGTCTACACGTGCATTATTCGACGTTTTTCTTGCCCCGCTTCCTATCGATCAACATCCCGCGATAAAACCCTTTTTTGAACGATGACCACGCACTTGCGTTCTATGTATATGTACCTGTATCGAGCCAACACAGTGTGTTCTTCGTTCAATTCACCAACTACTTCGACACCGTTAACAACGAATCTCTCGCTCGTTCTTAGTACGAATTGAAAATAGACAGAACCATGGACGATACTAACAGAAACGACGTGGCGAACAGCCTCAAGTATTGTCGAAGGCTGTTGAAACCGATCGGTCTTTGGCCACTTATCTACAGTCACACCAGCAAACTGAACAAAGTCCTTTCGATAATTCTGATCGCGTGGTGTACGTTGACCGTACTGTTCGTTTTAGTGCCATGCGGATACTTCTGTGTATTCCACGTGAAAAACGTGAAATTGAAGATGAAACTTCTGGGTCCGGTACTATACTCTATGCTCTCTATGCTCAGGTACAGCTGTCTAGTTTTGAAAACGCCCGCGTTCAAGCATTGCATCGAAGACATAGAGAACGATTGGAAGTTGATCGATAATCCGGAACACCGAGCGATCATGATCAAGAACGCGATGGTCACGCAGAGGATGACCGTCGCTTTTACTATTATAATCTACAGTTCTGCGGTGTCGTATCACGCCATTGTGCCATTTTTTTCAAACGCTTTGGAGAACAAGAAGAATAATACGATTCGTGCGTTACCAATTCCTGGCTACGAGTTATTCGTAGACGCTTATTCCAGTCCTACCTACGAGATCATAAGAACTCATCTCTTTGTTTACTCGTTCTTCGTCAACAAAACTGGTGTCCTATTTCGTCGCCCATGCCTATGGAATGCTACAGGTACAAATGGCGAGGTTAAAGTATCTGGTCGCGGATAATAGGAAGGAGAGCGACAGGAGTAGGATGCTGGTTGTTATCGTCAATGGTCACTCGAATGCTTTGAGGTGAGTGGGTATAGCCGATGGAAGAAATATAGCGAGATCGTGAAATCAAGGAACAGAGTAGCGGTACGCTACTGTAACAAAGCTGAGGCACGGTTCACGCGATGCTCGATGAGGTCTTATCTTAGATTTAACACGTTCACTGCCACGTTGGTCACCTGTCACCGGAAATTGTTTGCCCGATGAGGCCACGGTGGCACAAAAAGTTTAAAGTTCGTTCAATTTAAGAGTAACCTCGCTCTCGGACCGACTTTCGTCCGTTCTGCGCAGTTCCCACTACTACCTACCAATGCGATGCATGCGACTAGTCGTAGCGCTATTTCGGCTAGGCCCAAGAGCGTCACGCCTGGAACAGTAGACGCAGAGCGTAGCAGAGGGTAAGACGGAGAAAAACGTAGGCGGTTAAGTGGGGGTTTGGACGTTCTAGCTCTGCCTTAGGCACGTCCCATGCGCGAAGCGAGGTTACTCTTAAATTGAACGGACTGTAGACGTTATTTTGAATAAAAAAAAAGTGTAGTACCAGGGGCTCCATACCCAAATAGGGAATCAACGAGGGAAAATAGAGAGGGAGTTGCTGGCGTAGTGGGCAAAGGCTCGGCTTTTGCCAGCCTTGAAGTCCCGGTTTGGGTCCCTCAAAATTTTTCCTCGATTCCTACAATAATAACAGAGCATAATATAAAACTATGCTTAGTATAATGAAAATTTTCTTATGGCCTCCTGAATAGAACATGTAAATCTGGCGTGTGGTGGTAGTCAACGTGTTTAAAGCTTTCTCAAGGCTTGAAGCATAATTATTATTGAGACTTTCGGGTGTAAGCTGTGTCCTTATGGGAAAAAAGTATTCCGACGTTTCATAAGAATTGCAGCTCACTTTATCAACTTCTCTTATCTTTCCAAGTTTCTGTCGACTCGCTTCTCGATAATTTTGAGGCTTGAGCGACACTTAAGACCTCGCTATATTTCTTCCACCGACTATACAAGGTATAATTCGGGCCACGATACGGCACTAAGGCCCGTATAGTCGGTGGAAGCTATGTAGAATCACTCGGGCGACGTAATTCACTGGATGGACGAATTACTTGACGTAAAATCAGTGAGACGTCAAAGTATACTTGGTGAAAGAGCTGTGGTGGGGTTGTTAACACATTGTTGACCGGTCACGAGTTAACTCGTGTTTGCACTTGCATTAGCTATTTCAATTTTTGAAACGCAGGGAAATACAGAATATTGCAAAAGCTTTGTTCATCGTGTTTAGTCGTGTCCGCTTTATTATCAAAAAAATACTTTTCTTGGTATTTAGATTTTTATCAAAATTCTACTTGTTTAGTCCTCGATGGGTATACCTGCCACCCAACCCTTGGAATTTGTCAACATGTATTTCTATTGTATATATTTTCGCCTTTGTTATTAAAAGTTATATAAAAAATATGTCAAAAGTTTCATTTCAATTTATTATGTATAAATAGAGTTTATCGAAGTTTATTTAGATTGTTTCACTTCCACGTTCAATTACGAAATTGAAATTAAAATTTCCGGTCAACAATATGTTAAGCGAAAATATCGCGTCTTATAGAAGCCTCCTAAATCTCAAGTCATAAGCTCCAAATGAAGAATGTGAACTATCGGAAAATCGACGCTTCTAGCGGTCAAATCGAGACTGCGATTGGGTCAATGTAGACCCACAATTACATTTTCTTCTCTTTTCTAAATATACTGTAATCGAAGAACCTGCTTTCACACCCAAACTGCTATTTCAACGATCTGATTTTACGATCTCACTACAGCTCTTATAATTTTTTTCGTTTTTTCTTAAAAAGTGGACAATTTTTTGTTATTTTTCGACGGTCTTCAACGTGATGTTGCACGTAGATAAATATTTTCAGGTACACGAGACGAATCTTGAACGCGTTAGAGACACTATGTTTCGTGGAAGTACTGCTGTCCAGCATATTGTTGTGTCTTTGCGAGAACCTCTGCGTAGAGGTAATGAAACGAATTATTCATCGATCTTATAGTTTTAAAAATATAGTTAAAATATCATTTTTTTCAGGGATGGAAAACTCACGATATGATTTTTGGGGTAACGATCGGCGGTTTCATGCTTTCGATCACTTTTAATATATTCGTATTATGTCATGCAGGTGAACTTCTTGTCGAGGAGGTACCGAAAGTGTTTCTATGTTAATTATACGATGTTTCATTCAACCGATACAAATAGCTAAGTTTCTTGTCAGGCTGAAAAATTCGGCAATGCAGCTTATAACATCGAATGGTACAACTTACCGCCAAACAGGGCTCTCGATCTGGTGTTAATGATCGGTATAGCAAAATTTCCACCGAGGCTCACAGGTGGAAAAATATTCGATATATCGATAAACACGTTCAGTGCCGTACGTAGACAAAGTTTAATTAATCGTGATTAAAAAAAGAACACGCGTAAACAAGATTCACATGGTCTTTCAGGTACTCAAATCATCGGTAGTTTACCTGAATTTATATCAAACAATGACCGAATGGTAAAAAAAAAAAGAAAACAATTTCATACATATCTAAAATATTTCCACATTTTTTTATACATTAAAAAACGAACGTTAAATGTTTCTTACAGATACTCTGTTTGTTCACAAAAATCACGAGTTATTTACGTGAAGAATTTCAAATATCGATTTACTTGAAACTTCAAATTTTTTTCATTAATCAAGTTTTAGAACATTAATCTTACGATAGGTGTGAGTAATATGCGTATATTGATGCAAATATAAATGTACAGTAATTTATAATGATGCCTTACAGCACTTAAGCCACGTAATAAGGTACGTAAAGAAAAAGTTTAGAATAAAATTTAGATATGCCAAATTACCTACGATAACCATGCAATCGAAGGATCTCTCTTTGTTGCGTCTCCACTCGATCTTCCCTCGTTTACGCTCCGATCTCTCCGTCGAATGTAAAACCTGCAAGTAAGTATAGTTGGTGGAAGAAATATAAACGAAGTCGTGAATCACGACGTTAAGCGAAAACATCGATTAATCGTGACTGGATCAGTATTGTAGGAACCGAGGACGGAAAAATATTGAGGGACCCAACCGGGAACCTTCGGCTTACCAAGCCGAGGCTTTGCGCGCTACGCCAACCACTCCCTCTCTATTCTCCCGTGCCGGTTTCCTATTTTTTGTCTACTTCAGTCTACTTCATTTTCTTTGTATCACTTCCTTTCCTATAGTAATTGATATCTCGAAATCGGAAATTTTCCAAATTACACACTATTGTATATAAAATCTTTCAAATTCAACTTTTCCCGCCTTTACGAATTAACTCATTCTTGGCGATCATTCCCAAATCAGGAATTTGCAAAGCTTGTGAATAGCCGAGGCTCGTTCTAACTGATCATTACAAACCGCGCGATTCCCCGTACAATTTAAAATAAAGATTTCGATCGAGAAAAAAATTCGTAAAATGAGAACTACTATGCAGAGTTGGAAAAATTGCTCTCTTTCACTCGCTCAACCTTCGATGCTCGCCAAATTAATCCGTCACGCGACGGATCGGTAAATGTGACCATTTCGGCCAATAATAAAATTGCGTGTGATCTGACATTATAAATGTCTCCGACTTTATAACGTGTCACCCACATTCATTGCAATCTTTCCAGCTCTGCACAGTACCAATATATACTATAATAAATGAATCTTGAAACTGTCCGCTGGATCCAAACTCGGTCCTTTTCGAGTATCCTTCGACGTTTTATATTTTACCCTCGTCTTACACATTCCTTCCACGCGCAATCTTTCCAGCTCTGCACACCACCTTATTTACTTGTACACTATAACGAAAGAATCTGTGCCAAGTTTACTTCGTACGAATCTCCCTTGTCACTCCAAACAGATATCTCGACGATCGCATCTCGTATTCTTTCACGCCTGTGACTGATTTCACAACCGCGCCGTGTGTACCGCTTCCATCGACTGCAACAGAAGAAGAAAAAAAACGTGAAATGCTGGTGGTTGGTATCGACCAACCTTTCCCCACTACGTTATACTTTGCGAAACTCGACTCACGCACGCACGTGGCGAACAAGTTGATCGTGCACATCTATTAAAAAAAGAAACTCACACAACAGCCAGGCGCGCTTGCGTTCTGACGCGATATCGCAATCAAAGATTCCCGATCGTGTGTGGTTCAGTCGACAGCGTGCATCGAAGCCGTCAGCATGTACGATCGATCCTGTAGCAGTGTTGACGGCCAATTGAGGAATTACCATTACCAAAATGACATACATTACACGCTGCAAATGTGCCAATGGTTGTTGAAACCTATCGGAGTATGGCGATTGCTAGATCAACGTTCCAGCAAGCTGGAACACCTCGTCTCGATCGTTCTCATGACAATATGCTTCTCCAGTCTGTTCTTCATCGTCTTGCCATCCGGTCATTACATCTTCTTCGCGGAGAAAAGTATACACGTCAAGGTGAAAGTATTCGGTCCGGTTGGTTTTTGCCTCTCCTCCATCGTCAAATATTGCTATCTTTGCCTGAACGGTGGCGCGTTCGAACGATGCATCCAACACGTCGAGAGAGAC